AGTTACCTCCCTCAGCTCCTGTGATCTTTTATGTTGTTTAATTACCCAAATTAACAGGTCTGTAGACGGAAAGGGGAGAGGGGGGCGAACCCCAGAAGAAGGTTGTTTGCTCAGGGCAACATATGACCTACGTACACGGAAGTTTCATGGTAAAAAGATCAACTTATAGAAAAAAAAACGTCACGTTTTGATAATCTGCATCTACTACAATTACCCAAATGGTCTTTTATTTAAAAAAAAAAGATTAACAAAAAGCATACAACCATATAATGAAGAGGACATTATCAGACTGAGTCTCTAATAACTAAAATGAAAAAGTATACTTTTAGCTGAAGATGGAGTTAAACAATCTGCCTCAACGGGTTCAGGGGTTGAGAAGTAAATATGTAGAAAGCCAAAATGACGAAATAACCTTAACATGAAATTACACAACTTATACGAAGCACATTTTTCTGACTGGCGTGGAGTTTTCATTTTTACAGCATGGAATTTAATGTAAGCGATATTTAGATTACCTGTTCAATACCTGCTAGAGATATGCAGCAAGAAAACAAAGCGGGGACATCGTGGGATATGGTGGCCAGACCATGGACAGACGGTAGAGAGTTACAGGTGGTGCCCCCTCTGAAAATGGAGGTAAGGCCAATGATCTGAAAAATTAAGTATTGGACATGTACTGTTAGTTACTTTTCGATTTCAATGGTGCGATGGGCGTAGAATAGGTGATTTTGCTACTTAAATATGAAGCCTATTTAATGATGTCAATCTATGGCAAATAGCGGGGGATTGTGAAAAATGGGTAATTGAAGGTCTGATCATTCCCCTTTTTCTACCCCCTTACCGTCAATAGACAAAAAACTATGAAAACACACATTTTAGACGAAAAATATTTATATTCTTATTAAAGATCAATTTCCTAAATTGATGGGTTTCAGGGGCAGATCCAGGATTATTAGAAGGGGGGTCCGGAAGACCTCGAACGCAAAGCCCCCCCCCCCCCCCCCCCCAGGCGTGGGGTTCGTTGCCTGCTCAAGGGCCCCGAAAATTTTTTGATGTTTTTGAGGGCAAACGGTGCCCTTTGGTACGGTTAAGAACTATGATTCAGATAGTCAAATTTTTTTTCAAGAGGGGAATATTGGTGTGATATATTTTTCAGAAACCGAAGGGGGAGGGGTCAGGAACACCCAGTTCCATGTAAAATATATTTGCTCTTTATCTTTGTTTAATATATAACTGCTTTTAAATAATAATAGAAAATAGTTATCTAAACAGAGCTGTTACATAAACAAATGCTATAATATTCTATTTACTAATTGTTTTGTTTCTTATGAAAAATGTCTTATTCTAAGTTTCATTTTTTTCTGTGAGCACAGTGTGTTGCTATATTTGTATAAAATATAATTTTGATGTATATATATTAAAACTGAAACATACGGGGAATTAATTAAAATATTAATGACTCGTGTAATTTGTTATCTTTTTGAGGTGAAAATAGGCCTAAGCCTGCAATTTTGCCGCAAAGCGATTGTAATTTAGCATTAAATGAATCAATATATTATAAATTTATAGTTAATAATTAAGTCATTAAATCAACGATGCAAGACTTAGATATTTTCCTTATTAAAGATTTATATGGCATTCTCGATTGAAAGACCAAATCTCACATCATAAGCGGACATGGCGGTGTAGAAGCATACAGGTCGATGGTATTGAAAGTCACAGTGCCCATTTTGGGCACTTTTTAGATATAATTCCTGTTTGAATATAAAAATTCTCATGCTTCAAGAAAGCTTAGTCTACAAATACAATGTAGGCAGGCAGGCAGCTGGGACATTTGACGCCACTCGGGCTTTCCCAATCCTGCACAATCCTGAGTTACGAGTAGACTAAACATAACATTTAAATTCTGTTTACCATTACGGACTGCGGCTCTGCTAATATAGTTTGTTGTTTATTCATAGTAAAATAATGACTTCATAATGAGAACTGCTTCGAAGCAAAATACGATCGTCAGGAGGTTTATTTGAAAAATTGATTTTTCAAATAAACCTCCTGACGATCGGGCATACCTTCTGGGTATGCCCGTGAAACTCAGAGTCGGGGTTATTGCATGTCTCTTGTTTATTAATTTATTTATTAATTATATATATATATATATATATATATATATATATATATATATATATATATATATATATATCAAACTCAAAGATAAAAAGTTTGAATAACAGCTTCATTGGAATTATATTTTTGTTTTCTTTTTAATTTTTTCTCAAACACTGGCATTTTAAAGATGTGACTTTAAACTCCCATCTGCCTGAGGCTCTGCACATTTTCTGTATTTTCACATAAGCAGTTGTATTTGTATTTGTGTCTTTTAACATTATGTAATATTATTTTATGCACTGTCATCATTTTTCAAATATTGGGACTTTCATCATGTATAGTTTGAACTCTCATGGTCCTGAAACTGCAATCTTATTGAAGGGGGGATTGAGACCATCCTCTGGGTCTTCCGGAAAACGTTCAGATTTTAAAGTTTATACTGACGGGTATCTATTTGGAAGACCATCAAAATGGAGGATGGATCAACAAAGATACTTTGGAATACTGTTAGAAAATATCTCTGGATCCGCTCCCGTTATTGATCATGTTACCTGTTGTGCATGATTAAAATTCAGTGTTGACTGACTGTGCATTATAAGCATTATTTATTATTGCATCAAAATTGACAAAATGACCTGTTTTGCATCTTTATTTTCTGTTTTTTGTCTGTACATTTGACAGCTTCGCTGCCTTGTCTGTACATTTGACAGTTTTGCTGCTTTGTGGGTTGTCTTAGATTTAAAAAGCCAGCTTTTCAATTAAAAAAAGCATGGTGCTGAATGATCTTATGACCAGTGCCTATATTTTAATGAAATGTTCAAAAATCAAATGGACAAAAGAAAAGATTAAAGATGCATGCAAAGTCAATTTTTTGTCATAAAAAACCAACCAAATACCAGCATATAGTTTCAAGTAGTATAACTAAGAGAATTACCAAAAGGCATTGATTAATTTTACCCGAAAATGATGTTTGAACAGCTTTTTCTGCTGGCATTCTAAGCTGTATGTCAATGGGGCAGGAAAGTGGGTCACGAAAGTAGGTTAAATTTACAACCAAAAATTTAAAGGAAGGAGCAGTCTAAAGGTCGTTTATGGCTGATCGAGTGATCTATTCAGTTTATCCCTTGGCATGTCGAATTTACTGGAGTCATATAAGAAACTAATAGAAGTGGTTTACACGTGTAACTGGGAATCCACACTCCACCGATGCTCGGTTTGTATGTACCTTTAAGTTTACTTGCTTGAGGAAGGGAATACGTAGACAACCTTGCAAATGAACAAGGGGTGTCATATTTTAGATCACATAATCCAATTTTAACCAAAGCCTTACATTGTACGATCCAACCAATGAAAGTTTCAATAGGTATATAATTATAAAATCATTTATTGTGTACTTAATGCCATTGGCACAGACACTACAAACAGAATTTGTACTTTGTCTTTCCTGTATTTTCACAGTTACTAGTATGTTTTCAGGAAATTAAAAAACCTGGCTTAAGCCAATTTTTATTCCTGATCAATGTTCTAGGCTGGCAACTTTTCAAATGAATGCATTAAGGCTATAAACTACACATTTACTAATGTTCTTAATATGTTTTATTCATACTTTATTTTATCATTTTCATCCATAGATGTCTAGTAAAAATCTAAGGTGAAAGTCTTCAGTCTGATTACTCTAATTGCTACTGGCGTTTGAAACATAAATAATACAAAAATAAGAAAATCATTATAATTTTTAATATCACGATACTGAAAATGTATATCTAAAACAATACATAACAATTTCTGATAAAATTTGATTTCAATTAATTTAATTTTACATCATTAAGTCATAGAAGCAGTCTTGAACTAAAGTTAAAAAAAGAATTTAAGGAATGCAAAAAAGAAATTAAAACAAGAAATTGAAAGAGAGAGAGGTGACAACTGAAGATGTGAATGGTGATGCATGCAAACAAATTATGGACAAGATTTGGTTTAATGTAAATAAAACCACAATTGTTATTTACATTTACCATCCATACCAATTATCATTTTCAACACTTACAAGCTAATTGAGGCAATATAGTTTGTTCACTTCAACTACACTGTAGCATAACAAACAGAAGCAGTTTTCACTCATTTTTGACTGCTGGTTTATTGTTCATCCAAACCCAAATATTGATGGAGGATGCCAAGCACAGCCATGCCAAGTAAGGCATCATTAGATAGGAGGCATTCTTATTGATTCCCCAAAACATATAAATACATCCAGCTACACATCCTGCTGTTGTTACTATCTCCAGCGCACCCTGAAAGAGGAAAATTATATTGAAAATTAATTAAACCTAATAGCAGCATTACAATTTTAATATATGAATGTTTTTCCACCAAGGGATCATGCAATGACAATATTAAAATACTGTTAAACCTAAAATGAACAGCAGATAAAAACTGACACATTGTATGCCATTTCTGCTGCCTTAAATTCCCAATCCAAATACCATATAAATGACACAAATAAAAAAGTTTTATCTGCAAGCCCATGGCCTACAGTCTTGCAGTTTAACATCTGTATTTCACCCCTTATTTCATTTTTTTTCAACTCTTTTGACCTTAACAGATTTAAGCAGCCATGATGCAACAGTGGAAATATTTACCAGTCCCATCTTTCTAGCTCCAAAGAAAATGGGTGTCCATGCCCAATTGAGTGCCAGCTGTGTTCCATACAATGCCAAAGCACCAGCAGCATCTCCCTTAAAACCATTGCCATCACGATAGACAAGGTAGGAAGCATAACCCATACCTGAAATCCATTTGTTCTACCATGATTATCTTTTTATTCACATTTCTGACAAGTAGAAAAGCATTTCCTCTTAAAAGCATTTACGTTTATTTCTGTCACATAAGCATTCATTAACATCATTGAGTCAATGTTGAGAAATTATATACAAAGTTGCTCCGGTCTTTAAGTCCCACATAAATTATAGTTAGCTTTTTTGTTTCAGTCCATCAAGGATGTCCACCCCTACCTGTGTAAAGTGTGGTCCATACAGGTGCAAATACCCAGTTAGGTGGAGTCCATGCTGGCTTCTTTAAGTCCTTCAAAGAATACAATTATTATTGTTAAACTTCGATTAAATTATTATATTCCATTTGGAGGTTTCTCCTCTATATGTACATACAGTTGATGCAAGTGACTGTTCAGTTCTTTTAGTTTCACAATAATTGGAATATGATATATAATAAATTATTTGATCACTTATTAGACTTAAAAATAGATAAAAGTACTTTTGACCTCTTTACATATATTTACAAGCCATTTTGGCAAAAAAAAAAAAAAAACTTTAATGAACAGTTACAGTAAAGCAGCTAGTAGTTAGTAAATAACAGAAGAGAGAAAGCAGAAAAATGCAACAATCATCAATATACAAGGGCATGGCATTCCACTTTTTATCACATCTAACAATTATTTATATATGCTTATAATCACAAATTCTCAGGAATGAATTGAACAGTTTTACCAAAAAAATATATAATAAATAAATAAATAAATAAATAAAATACAAACTGGAGCCCTTGTATAATGACAAATTGCTAGAGTCAAACCATGCACCTTGAACCAATTTTTCAATGTAGGGCGTGTGAAAAAGGTACCAGCAATTCCACCTATATGTGGGAACAAACTGAAAGCTACAGGGGGTAATAATGCAGACCAAGACGCCATTGCTAAAATAAAACAATAAAAAAATTATTTAAAAAGGTAGTTATCTAAAACAGGGGAAATTTTGTTTAATAGAAAAACAAAGCTAAAACCATTAATAATAGTAAATTAACAATGCAGAAAGTTTCAACCTATTAGTTATTCTGTGCTATGCAACTACTGAAAGAAAACTAACAATAGGTGAACAGTTTCTTTCAGCACCCTGTCATATTTTTACATCAGTATATATATATATTAAGAAACTAATTTTCAACAGCAATCCACAAATCCATTAGTTAGTAGTCACCCAGCAACAAATATACTATTCACTTTTCATACCAATAAGGCCACTTAACATAATGCTAAATGGGCAGCAATTATATTAATCTGAATGGCAGCAAACTCAAATAGCATCCAGTGGCGGAATTAGAGGGGACCCCCACCCTTCAGTTTCTAAAAAATATATCACACCAATATTCCCCTCTTGAAATTAGAATTTTGACTAGATGAATCATAGTTCTAAGCCGTACCAAAGGGCACCATTTACCGCCCATAACACCAAAAATTTTGGGACCCTTGAGCAGGCCCCACATCTCGAACCAAGGGGGCAATGGTCAGCTTCGCATCTGAGGCCTGTCGTTCTGGACCCCTCCCCGCTTTCAAAAAACCCTGGATCCGCCCCTGATAGCCTCTTCCAAAGACTGGTTAAAAGGGGAAATTAATGCAATTGTGCCCTTTAAGGTTGTTAAAACAAAAGGCTATGGCTAGGAGAGTGTAATCAGTTAATCATTTCTGCAAGGGATGACTCATTGCTAGTTGGGATTACATGGACTGGAAGATAACCAAAAGGCATGCAGTGTACATATTCAAAACAAAAATCTCTTAAAATAACAAAACACAAAGTACTAGTACTTATTAACGATAACACTGTTGGATCCATGCTAGGGAATGTAGAGGGGGTGTCTTGGACAATTTGTTTTTCAGGAAAGGGGATAGGTGCAGATACCTCACCCCTCCCCTCCCACTTTTCTCTGGAACTGCACTTTTTGGGCACATCATGTTGCAGTTTATCCAAGGTAATACAAACATAATCACAAATAACGAGACCCTTATCATGAAATTTAAAGAATAAGACAAGGACGAAAAATAAAAAACATTAACAGAGGCATGCAGATCATATCCATGATTTACCTCATTATACCATTTTTCCGACTCTTTGAAGAACTTAGCATGAACGGCATATGCATTCACAAAACCACCAACAGTTGGCACAAATATGAATGCTGAAGGAACCAGAAATTTGGACCACTCAGGCATTCTGTGAAATAAAGAAAAGGGTATTCTAACAGAATCAGCTGGTGATAACTTCTTTTCTTGGAGCATACATCCCACTTCTTCAGTTTGTTATGTAGTCAACAGAAAAAGATAAGGGTTAGCTAATATATATGCTATTTGTTAGTGGGTTAACATCTCACAAAAGAAATGCTACAGGCCCATAGCCAGGGGGGGTTCCGGGGGTTCAAATGAACCACCCTTTTTGCTGGGAAAAGGTCCATTCTGGGTAAAATTTGATCTAGATACATGAAGATTTTATGGTAAAATGTCCACTTTTTCATAAAAAGAACCCTCCTCTGAAATTGCTGGCTACATCCTAACAGGCCAAAGATCCCAGAAAATACATAACAAGAAAAAAAGCCAAATCCTGTAACTAAGAGAAATCTAGCAACAACTGGACAAACAGAAAATTTATCATACAAACAATGTCAGTGTGAACATACTGGATACCAAGTCTTGATACTATCTTTCATTGTAAGGCCCGATATATATCCACCTAGACTAGGCAATAAAGTAAATCCCAAAGGCATCAAGTACTTAGACAACTCCATCTGAAAAACAACAATGACAAATACGGTAGTCAGAAATTCCAATTAGTAAAAAAAAAAAGAAGCATACCAGGGCCCAGTTTCATCAACACTGGATAGCAGTTACCATACCTAATGATGACATGTCAATTACAAATGTCATAATTCAATACCAACTCATTAGTAGGCTTGTTAAGAGGTCAAACGCTGCATTTTATAGTACAAATGTCTAACTTGGCATAAATGTACCTTGGGCCAAAAGAAAATTTTTTATCCAAAGAGACGCCCTCTATCGATACATTAATTAGCATAAATTATGCAAATTATGTGCCAAAATATATAATATTTCATATTTCCATTAACTTTTGGCCTAGAAACATGTGTAGATTATCAAACCTGACTAAAGAAGGGACAAGGAACCCATTTTTGATCATTTGGAAGCAATTGGTGGCCATTTTGTGCCTCAAATCCAAGATGGCCACCACCCACCATNCCATAGAAGCAGTCTTGAACTAAAGTTAAAAAAAGAATCTAAGGAATGCAAAAAAGAAATTAAAACAAGAAATTGAAAGAGAGAGAGGTGACAACTGAAGATGTGAATGGTGATGCATGCAAACAAATTATGGACAAGATTTGGTTTAATGTAAATAAAACCACAATTGTTATTTACATTTACCATCCATACCAATTTTCATTTTCAACACTTACAAGCTAATTGAGGCAATATAGTTTGTTCACTTCAACTACACTGTAGAATAACAAACAGAAGCAGTTTTCACTCATTTTTGACTGCTGGTTTATTGTTCATCCAAACCCAAATATTGATGGAGGATGCCAAGCACAGCCATGCCAAGTAAGGCATCATTAGATAGGAGGCATTCTTATTGATTCCCCAAAACATATAAATACATCCAGCTACACATCCTGCTGTTGTTACTATCTCCAGCGCACCCTGAAAGAGGAAAATTATACTGAAAATTAATTAAACCTAATAGCAGCATTACATTTTTAAATTTTAAAATATGATTGTTTTTCCACCAAGGGATCATGCAATGACAATATTAAAATACTGTTAAACCTAAAATGAACAGCAGAAAAAAACTGACACATTGTATGCCATTTCTGCTGCCTTCAATTCCCAATCCAAATACCATATAAATGACACAATTAAAAAAGTTTTTATTTGCAAGCCCATGGCCTACAGTCATGCAATTTAACTTCTGTATTTCACCCTTTATTTCATTTTTTTTCAACACTTTTGACCTTAACAGATTTAAGCAGCCATGATGCAACAGTGGAAATATTTACCAGTCCCATCTTTCTAGCTCCAAAGAAAATGGGTGTCCATGCCCAATTGAGTGCCAGCTGTGTTCCATACAATGCCAAAGCACCAGCAGCATCTCCTTTAAAACCATTGCCATCACGATAGACAAGGTAGGAAGCATAACCCATACCTGAAATCCATTTGTTCTACCATGATTATCTTTTTATTCACATTTCTGATAAGTAGAAAAGCATTTCCTCTTAAAAGCATTTACTTTTTTTTTTGTCCCATAAGCATTCATTAACATCATTGAGTCAATGTTGAGAAATTATATACAAAGTTGCTCCGGTCTTTAAGTCCCACATAAATTATAGTTAGATTTTTTTTTCAGTCCATCAAAGATGTCCACCCCTACCTGTGTAAAGTGTGGTCCATACAGGTGCAAATACCCAGTTAGGTGGAGTCCATGCTGGCTTCTTTAAGTCCTTCAAAGAATACAATTATTACTGTTAAACTTTGATTAAATGATTATATTCCATTTGGAGGTTTCTCCTCTATATGTACATACAGCTGATGCAAGTGACTGTTCAGTTCTTTTAGTTTCACAATAATTGGAATATGATATAATAAATTACTTGATCAATTATTAGACTTAAAAATAGATGAAAGTCCTTTTGAGCTCTTTACATATATTTACAAGCCATTTTGTCAAAAAAAAATAATTTACGAACAGTTACAGTAAAGCAGCTAGTAATTAGTAAATAACAGAAGAGAGAAAGCAGAAAAATGCAACAATCATCAATATACAAGGGCTTGGCATTCCACTTTTTATCACATCTATATGCTTATAATCACAAATTCTCAGGAATGAATATTGAACAGTATTACCAAAAATAAAAAATAAAATAAAATAAATAAATAAATAAATAAAATGCAAACTGGAGCCCTTGTATAATGACAAATTGCTAGAGTCAAACCATGCACCTTGAACCAATTTTTCAATGTAGGGCGTGTGAAAAAGGTACCAGCAATTCCACCTATATGTGGGAACAAACTGAAAGCTACAGGGGGTAATAATGCAGACCAAGACGCCATTGCTAAAATATAAAACAAAAAAATTATTTAAAAAGGTAGTTATCTAGAGCAGGGGAAAAACAAAGCTAAAACCGTGAATAAAAGTAAATTAACAATGCAAAAAGTTTCAACCTATTAGTTATTCTGTGCCATGCAACTACTGAAAGAAAACTAACAATAGGTGAACAGTTTCTTTCAGCACCCTGTCATATTTTTACATTAGTCTATATATATATATATATATATATATATATATATATATCACATCAAGCAACATTTATATTGAAACTTATTTTCAACAGCAATCCACAAAATCATTAGCTAGTAGTCACCCAGCAACAAATATACTATTCACCTTTTCATACCAATAAGGCCACTGAACATCATGCTAAATGGGCGGCAATTATATTAATCTGAATGGCAGCAAACTCAAATAGCACCCAGTGGCGGATTTAGAGGAGACCCCCCCCCCCCCCCCTTCAATTTCTGAAAAATATATCACACCAATATTCCCCTCTTGTAATTAGAATTTTGACTAGCTGAATCATAGTTCCAAGCCATACCAAAGGGCACCATTTGCCGCCCATAACACCAAAAAATTTTTCGGGGCCCTTGAGCAGGCCCCGCACCTCGCACCAAGGGGGCAATGGTCAGCTTCGCATCCGAGGCTTGTCATTCCAGACCCCCCCCCTTTCAAAAAATCCTGGATCCGCCCCTGGTATCCTCCTCTAAAGGGGAAATTAATGCAAATGTTCCCTTTAAGGTTGTTAATCAAAAGGCTATGGCTAGGAGAGTGATAATCAGTTTATTATTTATCATTTCTGTAAGGGATGACTCATTGCTAGTTGGGATTATATGGACTGGAAGAAAACCAAAAGGCATGCAATGTACATATTCAAAACACAAATATCTCTTAAAATAACAAAACACAAAGTACTAGTACTTATTAACAATAACACTGTTGGATCCATGCTAGGGAATGTAGAGGGGGTGTCTTGAACAATTTGTTTTTCAGGAAAGGGGATAAGTGCAGATACCTCACCCCTCCCCTCCCACTTTTCTATGGAACTGCACTTGAATAAAACACAGTCTTTTTGGGCACATCATGTTGCAGTTTATCCAAGGTGATACAAACATAATCACAAATAACGAGACCCTTATCATGAAATTTAAAGAATAAGACAAGGACGAAAAATAAAAAACATTAACAGAGGCATGCAGATCAGATCCATGATTTACCTCATTATACCACTTTTCCGACTCTTTGAAGAACTTAGCATGAACGGCATATGCATTCACAAAACCACCAACAGTTGGCACAAATATGAATGCTGAAGGAACCAGAAATTTGGACCACTCAGGCATTCTGTGAAATAAAGAAAAGGGTATTCTAACAGAATCCTTTATATCTCTTTACAAGGGTACTTTAAGACATCAAATTTACACATTTGTCAGATTGTTGGCTTCAGCCTTCAGCTGGTGATAACTTCTTTTCTTGGAGCATACATCCCACTTCTTCAGTTTGTTATGTAGTCAACAGAAAAAGATAAGGGTTAGCCAATACATATACTATTTGTTAGTGGGTTAACATCTCACAAAAGAAATGCTACAGGCCCGTAGCCAGGGGGGGGTTCCGGGGGTTATGAACCACCCTTTTTGCTATGAAAAGGTCCACTCTGGGTAAAATTTGATCTAGGTACATTAAGATCTTATGGTAAAATGTCCACTTTTTCATAAAAAGAACCCTCCTCTGAAATTGCCGGCTACATTCTAACAGGGGCCAAAGATCCCAGAAAATACATAACAAGAAAAAAAGCCAAATCCTGTAACTAAGAGAAATCTAGCAACAACTGGACACACAGTGAATTTATCATACAAACAATGTCAGTGTGAACATACTGGATACCAAGTCTTGATACTATCTTTCATTGTAAGGCCTGATATATATCCACCTAGACTAGGCAATAAAGTAAATCCCAAAGGCATCAAGTACTTAGACAACTCCATCTGAAAAACAACAATGACAAATACGGTAGTCAGAAATTCTAATTAGTAAAAAAAAAAAAAAAAGAAGCATACCAGGGCCCAGTTTCATCAACACTGGATAGCACTGCCCATTGGATGAAATTGTTATCCTCTGGTCAGTTATCTTGTGAGTAAAAGAATGTTTTCTTATACCTAGATACCTATCATTATTTCTGATTTTTCTATCCAGTGGTTAAAAAATGGCTGATATCATCAGGATAATGATTTCATCCAATGGATAGTGTTATCCAAAGTACTAGTATAGCGCTATCCGGTGTTGATGAAACTGGGTCCAGAAGTTTAACTCAATCTTTTTTCTCGTCTTCCTTGCAGTTACCATACCTAATGATGACATGTCAATTACAAATGTCATAATTCAATACCAACTCATGCTGTTCTTATTTACAGAGGAGATTGTCTCAACTTTACATCAAAATGTCCTTACGACTATTTGAACTCAACCACATGTATGTTAAATTTGTTGATCACTACAGCATTGCTTATATAAAATACAAACGTACATATCTATAAAATACAAACATCCCATTATCTAGCATAAATTTTTTTTCAATTCATTTTGTTGATAATGTATTTACAACTCTCCACCTCAGGGATCAAATGCTAGCATCTGGTTCATTCAAATGACAAAACGGGGACAGCCCTATATTCCAAGGATCCACGTACTATTCTGAATTCTAAGGAGCCTTGATCTGTAATCAACCGCTATTTCGAAGGTCTATTATGCCAATGGTCCGTTGTTCCGAAAGACTGCTACTCCGAAAAAAGTTTGATGCAATACCTGCGCTTATACGAATTGTATTAGTTGTGCAATTGGGACACTGACCTTCGTGTCAAAGACGTGCACATAATTTGCAAGAATTCAGAATAGCGGTCCCTTTGAACAGCAGTCCTACCAGTCCCTCAGACTAGCAGACCCTCAGAATATAGCACACCCAACAACCCAACTTCCCAAGGAGTGCAGCACTTGACTTGAGTACCCAAGTAACTTCAGATTACATGGAGAACATAAAATCCATAAATCTTACATGAAAATGAAATTCAAATATTGCTTGTTTTATACAATGGTGGACCTGCAAAAGAAATAAAATCTCTGTTTATTTCTATGCATTCCCACAGGCACTTTAACCTAAATTTTAGGAAAAAATCACAGGCTCAGGCAGGCTGAATCACTCAGTGAATGTCAAGAAAAGGACGTTGTTGCGTAATTTGGAAAATTTTTTTCAGTGGAATAAAACCATTTACTGACAACACATACACTTGACACAGCACTACAGACCATTCTTTCGAGGAATAAATGCACTCACTTTTTTACTTATCCGTTGATGGATGAAAGCCTATTCGCTGGACAACGTGCACCACTTCCAAAGGTCGAATTTATTGAGTAATGCTCAAAGTATATTACGGTAGCCTCGTTTTCGATTGAAAAACTCTGGTTTGCAAAAACTGCAAACGAGGATGTGTTATGGAGAGTAGCCTAGTACTTTTCTTGACCTTGCCCTAATTATAAGGATTTGCGTAAAAATGTCCTCTGCGAGTTTTTTTAAAAAATCATTTATTATAGTTTTTATGTAAATTATATATTTTCATATTTAATATGATGTATATATGATGCTATATGTATTTTTTTCCGTTCATTTCAGCCGGTAATGCTAGCGGAAGATCTCCGCAGTTGGAAGGAGAATGGCATCGCCAGGCCCTAGTGGGACGTTGAAGAAGCAAAAAGAAGATAGCTTTCTTGGAGAATTCATCGGAACAATCACGAGGAAGAAGAAACAGAAAGAAGGTCAGTGCATTTTCTCGCTTTAGAAAACAAATCTAGTCCAGAACTATGCCACCTTGACATGAAAAACCAAGTGTTTACTTTTGGGAGTGGTTCGGCTTTATTCCCAAATTTGGCGTTCCTGTTGTTTTCAGTGTTAGTTTCAGTTTCCATATAAATTCCAGACCATAAATTTAAATGATATTACATTGTCTTTGCAACACTGTGCTTAATTACGTTACTGATTGATACATAACGTTTGTGATGCACACAGTGCCGAATACAAAATATCAAGAAGAATATAGCTCATTCACGTGAAATGATCATTTATTTGTATGATATTTCTTCGCACTAAGTTTCAGCACCCGTAGCAGTCACCTTGATCGTTTGATTAATCTAAAAACTACAGCAAAATTATGGGAGCAACTTATTCATTATCTACAATTTCCTAATCCTATGCTTCTTTTGACAGTGGTTGACTTGCAAGAAGAAGGGAAAAATGCCATTGAATCACCCAGCAGTCCAACAAGCCCAGATATGGGTCCAGAGGCATTCATGCTTGGTAAGGAACCTGGAATTAATTTGGTAGAGAACTTAAGTTAAAATAGAACAAGAAGTACATCTTATATTGTCCTTAAATCATATATATGCACATATAAACCATCCCATCAGTAATATGTATCATTTGGCATATGCATTCAGTGGACTGAGGGATATTTTTCTTTAAATTCATGTGCAGTATATATATGAATAAGCATTCTTTGTGTGTTAATGTGTCTTTTAATACTGATGCATGCTTGTGGTCATGTTTATTTTAGTTTAAAAAACTTAATTGCCATTACAGAGGAGAACGAGGAAAGATCCATGATAGAGCCTGGTTCTAGAGAAGATGCTAAAGTAAAGGAGCTTATTATGGTAAGGACATGAAGGCAGTATTCAGTATTATAGTAGAGAAATGTTGAATTAATGTATCTTAAATGTTAGACTAGAACAAAATAATAACTGAAAAATATAGTGGAAGCTCATCAGATGTTGTTATTTAATGCATACATAATTATTGTAAATTTATACATGCATAACATTTGATAACGAAAAAATTTGGGAAAAAATTTTTTGTTTTAATACACAGATATAGTATTAGTCATAGGCTTATTGATATATTGCTTAGTTTTCATTTCTCTTGTGACATGTCTAAAACTTTTTGGTTCTGTGCTAGAGTTAGATTGAGCAAATTGAAAAATGTAATTGGAATGTAGTAATCTACTAGTTTACTTTGATTTCATTTTCTCTGATAAAAATCCTGCTTCTTTTCAGATGTTGCTGGACTGGATCAATGATGAACTTGCAGAGCAGAGAATTATTGTGAAGGACATAGAAGAAGACATTTTTGATGGACAAATTCTTCAGAAGTTAATTGGTAAGTACATCATGTTGCAGACAAAGATAGAGCTTTTTTGGAACTGTGATAACATACCTGTCACCAGTTGTGGTTATAACTGTGATAAATGAGACTTGAAGTTAGGCAGTTATCCATTCATTGTTATTCAAAACCAGAAAGAAAGTTGAGCTTCTTGTCACTAGTATTTACAAAACACAGATCTCTGTAAATTTTTGCCCGAACAGATTTGATAACTGTATGCTTTGAGCGTACCTAATTTGGTCTTTTGTTTATTCTATTATCTCTTTCTCGCTGATTTGCAGAAAAACTGGCAAGAGTGCGAGTTGAAGTTCCTGAAGTGACTCAGTCAGAAATAGGACAGAAACAGAAATTAAGGATTGTACTGGATACCATCAACAGAATCCTTAATCTGACACCTACATGGAATCAGCAAAAGTGGACTGTGGACAGTAAGTTGGAAAATGTTGCATCTTAGTTCTTGCATCTGTTCTCCTCTTCTAAACTGGTTTTAATTTAATTTGATGATGACTGACTTTAAGCAAATTTCTTGTCTAAAATAGTCATCATGTCAATGCAGCTGCATAGTTTTAAATTGTATTAAAAACATATTTCTTATTTGGTTTGTCTCCTTTTCTTTTCAAATATTTAGTCACTTTTCCCTTTTAAATTGATAATTTGTTTGAAAATAGTGTCTTATTTCACGTGTAACAGTATGATTCATCAATGTTTTTCTTTGTTAATTCATATGTGTGCATACATACAGATATTAGTTAAACAGAGCAAATTTTTCAAAGTGTCTTTTTTTCTTTTAGGTATTCATTCAAAAAACCTGGTAGCCATACTCCACCTTCTAGTCACACTTGCAAGACACTTTAGGGCTCCCATCAGACTACCTGAAAATGTGGCAGTATCTGTGGTGGTTGTACAGGTGCTCCATTTTGGTTTAAAATTTTTTGTAGCAATCAAGGGGTTTTCAGCAACAATTGAGCTTGCAAATGAGATCTTTAAATGTAAATTGTTTGAAAAATCCTTACTCTTTCTTTTAATTGCCATGATATTAATCTATAATATATGATTCACAAAGATTTAAATTTTGTAGTGACCATTTTGCTTAATTTCATACTGGATATGTGGGATGCAGGGTATTAACCAGCAACAAAAATATTGCTGCTTTGAAGCAGGTGTGATGGACACTTTCACTGACCACAAATTAAGTCAGCTTAGATCACATTGTAGAAAAAATGGTCCCGTCATCAGTTATTTATTTTCCTGTGAATTCAGATAAAAAGTTTTGGTTTGGATTTAAGAAACATGCCACATACACTAAACAGTGATTACCACTCATTTAACAATATTGTATTATCATTACTAATGGATTATATGTAGCAGTGAACAATGGCAGGTCATTTGTCCATGAAATGATATATTTACATATTTGGTAATGATGTTGATTCTTTGTTGACCAGTGCTTTGTTAGAATATAAGATTTTAATGAACCCCCAGTCACATGTACCACCATAGAGTTGTGCTCTTGTTCTTGTCTTGCTGTTTTGTTAGGAGAAATCATGCTTAAATTGGATTTTTTGTAATGTACTGCCATCACTCACTGAAGATCTCAGATGTTAGATCCTGGTTAACACCCTTCTGGACTGTGATGAATTAAAAACCCTTTACTAACTGATGTCTCTCATTACAGAAACGGGATGGTTTGCTGCAGACAAGAAGAGTCATAGAAGAGATAACAGGGACCAATGAGTATGTTCAGAATAGAAATATGTATAAAAAAGATTTTTAAAACATCATTTGAATTTTGCTAATTTTACATTTGAATTATCATGGGGTTCAGCATATTAGATTCCTGTATCTGACCTTTTAAATTGGCAGGAAACTAGACATCTCCGAAACTCGTACCTTCATCTTGATTTCATTCATGTTTACTGAGCTAATTACAAACTATACTCTTCTTTATATGAATGAAACATTTGTTCTGCTATAAGTTCCAAATACGATTGTGTTCTTATTTTAGCAAGAAATTTTATTTGTTTGAAAAAACCAACAGAATGTTCGAGGAAATTATTTTTATGTATCAGATAATCTGCCATCTAACATAGAATATGGAGAAGCACTTCAGTGGGTTTAAAAATGCAGATATATAATAATACCCCACTGTCATTGACATCTTCAAAAACCTGTGTTTGGATAGGTAGCAATTATAATACATTTTATTAAATTTTCCCTCATTAAAATGATGGGGAACTTGTCATATATTGTCTTCAAAAAATATTGAGCTTATATTTTGTGTTTTATTGGCTTTGAAGGCAGATGGGTTTGATAAAGCACAAGTGCTTGTTATTGGACAAAATGGTAGAAGTTTAAAAAATTACAAAAGCCTATATTGGACTCTGCTGGCTAGGTGCTAAAGATAGGGAATGTGAAACAATATATTAATTGTTTTTATTAATCTGCAAGTTTTTTGTGCTATGGGAAATGTATCTAATCGTTGTTTTGAAAATATTCTTTATATAATTTGGTAACTTTTCTTTTTTTCAGTGACATAGGAGCAAGATTTGGTAAGGACCTTGTTACATTCTTTCAGTAAAAAGTAAAGATAAGCAATTATTATTTTATTTAATTGCCTTGGCATTAATAATAAGCATATATAAAAAAACATTTGGTTTTTTGTTTAACTATAACATTAGGGTATTTATTATCTGTATTTTTGCTTATTTCAGAGCGAGATGCCTTTGATACTTTATTTGATCATGCACCAGACAAGTTGAATGTGGTCAAGAGGGTAGGTGAAACAAAATAAGTAACTGCAGTTTTCCTAAGATATAGGTATATCCAATCAAAATCTTTAAAGAAAATGTAGGTGCCTTGTGTCTTCATTTCTAGGCTATTGTTTTGTCATTGTGGGATGTATCCTGAATGTGCGTAGTATTGTTATTTATACTTATTTTAACAAGTGTAGGTTAAGATTTTGAAAGTTTTTTTAATACTTTAGAATATGGTGGACAAATAGGGTGACAGAGTTGAATATGTTGCTTTTTGTTCTTGCAGTCCCTGATTGGCTTTGTTAACAAGTGGCTGAACAAAGTGAACTTGGAAGTAACTGATCTAGACAACCAGGTTAGCTCTTCTTCATTGGATAAAAATATTGCTGATACTGAACATTCTCTTTATTTCTTGTGGTTTAGAGTGGCTTTCCAGTACTGTATCATGGTGATATGGCTTTTTTTTTTCTTAATTCAATGAAGCTTGAAGTATTTAACTTATTGGGGTTAGTTTGTTTACAATATCATAGAGTATGTAATTCATTTAATTCAGCATAAAAGCCCTTTTGTAAGATTTACCACACCCAATAAATATATAACTTGTGTGGGTTTACATAATATGTCAAGTCTTCTGTTACAAGATATATGTTATGGTGGAAACATATCTTATTATTTTCACATTGTGATATTTTTTAGTTTCATGATGGTGTGTATCTGGTGCTGCTTATGGGACTTTTGGAAGGCTACTTTGTCCCACTTCACTGCTTCCATCTGACTCCAACAAGCTTTGAACAAAAGGTATAATATGAATTTTGATCAGTAGTATTCATTGTTGTCGTTAAAATAAAATGTTTATTCTATGAAAACATGGGTTAAAGGAAGAAGTTATTGCAAACTGATAACCTGCTTTCTTAGATGAATGATGTTAAGATAGTTCACAATAGTTGGAATTCAAAAGATCCAGCCTTTGTATTATTACTAAAAAAGGAAAAGCAATCTATATAATCAGAGATTACTTTTCCTAGAGCCCTTCATGTCAGTTAATTTGAACTTGATGCATTTCTTTAGTTTTTCCCTTATGTGGCACACGGAACACTGTAAAGCATCACCTCTGTATTTTGAAAATTACCATCTTGAAACAAATGATTGTCTTGGGTATCAAATGTTTATGAAGGTTTTTACTCAATTCTTGTGGAGGTTCACCTCAATATAAGTGATATCAATGATATTTTTTCGTCAAACAGTTGTGTTTCAATTATGTTTCCCATAACTAGAACACAAAACTGGTAATAAATAATATCAGATGACAAATAATGCGGTTTAAGCTAAAATTTCAATTGGTGAACTTGTATTGGAAAAAAATTATATTATTATTTTTGCATTTAGACTAAAATGTTACAATTCGGCTAAAAATATTTTCTATATGCAGGTTCATAATGTTTCCTTTGCATTTGAACTAATGGTTGATGCAGGACTACCACAGCCAAAAGCCAGACCAGAAGGTGAGGTTCATTTGTTCAGATGCTAATAACAACGGTATCAAAAATGTTTTCAAATGTCTAAATTTTAATCCATAATTCTCAAAGTTTCCTGTTGTTTTGTTAAAATTGACGTTGATTTGGTTAATTTCAGATGTTGTTAACCTTGATTTGAAATCGACATTACGGGTATTATACAACCTCTTTACCAAATACAAGGCATTACCTTAGAAGGCCCTGAACTTCAGACAGCTTTAAGTACAGAATCTCTGAAAAATTTACAAAGGATGCTGCCAGCTTTTTAAAGAGGTATCAGTTTAGAAAGACGAGGAAAAAAAAACATTCAATATTTTGCCTTCCCTACATACTGTCATCATATTCATCTCTGCTGTGAGTGAGAGTATGTACTAGCTTCTCAGACTTTTTTGTTGCATGCTTCTCAAATAGTGTGCCAAAAAATCACATCAAGAATATGGCCATTCATCATGACACTTTGTTCATTTTCATTAAGTAATGATTGCATAAAAAATATATAAAACAATGTTTTCATTTCAACCCACTCATTAATTCGTACATGAGCAAATAAATTTCAGGATATGAAAACAAATGCTGCTCCTATTTTCATCAGGGTGACAATAAGGTTGATCAAGTTTTCTGAAATTGTCATTATAACAATGTATAATCAAAATATTTGTCTTTGTGTAAGACTCATTGATTGTGGATTAAACTAATGTTCCTACAAGGTAAATATACTTGCATGCAGTACATTTTGGAATGAACAATAATGTAACAATGTACAGGTGCTGTCAATACTCCATAATTTAAAAATGTAAATTATGCATGCAGATTTGTTAGAGAAGTGTAATTCTCATTATCTAGTATGTTAAAACATCTAAACCCATTTGTTAAATTAGGATAGTAATTTTAGACACCTAACATATATGTGCCAATTGATATTTTATAGGGGACCTGCATCATATGACATGCAAATATTCCTCTTGTAGTATGTATATTTTTGTAGATATAGGTATACACTATATGTATATTATGTAATCATTATGCAACCTTAGAAATAAATCTGAAGGACTATTTGTTTTTGTTTTATATCTGATATCTCAAGGAACAAAAAATTAACCCAGCTAGTTTGTAAGTATGAAAGGTATGAGCAATAAATGGGTTGGTGTGTGTGAAGGATTATTGAAATCGAAGGATACAATTTCATTTCAGACTTAATATTTCTAACCATTTCAGCAAAAAAACCTTTGGTGTTCCCTTTCAACAATTAACATGTAATGCTGTAGCCACACATGTAACTAATTTTTTCAACTACAAGTTATTTAATTCTTTTTCTTCCACGTGCCCATCCACGTCAAGTAGAGATGCAACTATCAAAGACTTTTTTTCTCTTTCTTTCATTCATTGCATATTTCGCCCTCTCTATATGCTGGTGTCCTCGTCACAAAAAGTTAGGGCAGACACCTGTCAGAATACATTAAACTAGCATTAAACTGTAATCTTAACAAAAAAAGTTGTATCACAGCGACAGTTTCTCATCATATTGCTGTCATAAGCAATGGCCATTTTATATCCATGCTAAACAACTTGAAGCGGTCCATGAAACCGTTTTCCGTGCACCTGTCAATCCTTCCCAAATTAAATTTGGAAAGGTGATGTCATCCGGATGTCTGCAACAAAGCAGAAGGGATATGTGTGCGAAAGGAATAAGAATACATGTACCCCCTTCATAGACACCGTCTGATTTTGGACAAAAAGTAGAATAAGAGATTTTAAAACAGGGAAACAGATAAAACTTTCGAATTAACACAGTTTTAAATAATCTCAAAGTGAATTTTCTCAACCAAGCAGAGATAACTGCAGCTATGAATGACAATAAACATCAAATTCTCCCAACTTATCGAAGTACCACCCCTGCGCAGGATTTATGCGCAGTGCGCGTGTACGTAGTCTAGATTCTTTGTGTCATTCCTTGCATACCATTACTGAAGAACTTGCAGCCCTGAAAACTCTCAATCCGATCAGAAAGTCGTCCCAGAAGTGCCTCGGCCTTTTGCTTGGTGAGTATATTTTTCTGTGATATGCGGGTTTTTGTCAGTTTTGGGGGAAAAGTTGAGAAAAGTAGCCCGGAATGACAGAAATGTTGGGGCGATTTTCGAATCCCACACATACCTGGCATAGTTCTAGACCAGGTTTACTTCCGGACGAATATTTGTGTGTAGCGTCCTCGTGTCTTTTGTTTTGGTCATGGTTTGTTATGGATATATGTGGAGACATTCATAAGAACGAAATGAAGCGTGCGATTTTTCCTTCAAGACACCTTGGACTAGGTTGAAAAAGTCGAAGAGTTCAAGAAAGTTTTGGCGGGTGATCGAGCGCACAGGTTAAAACTTGTGTGGGTGACTGTGAGCTGCAAACATGGCAGTACGGCTAGTGATTAAGAACTTAGATGTTGCAGTTGGAAAATGTCGTTACAGTAATGGGCATTGTTCATCGTGGAATTGGAGTGGATTAAACAAGTGTGCCGAGGATGACTATGTTTTAACTCCAGTTTTGATTTGATAGGTGTAATTAAGAATGTAAGGTTATATGCTGATGAACGTCATTTTGAATCGAACATAGGAATATGACCCGAAGTTATTGATTGCATACATGAGCATGACATATTATTGTATGAGCTGTTGCTGATAACCTGTTGCATTATGATTACTGAAGCAATTTTTCTAACTACCAATGCTTTAAATTAATGTCAAAATGGTAGCCTGGTGGAGTTTCTGAAAATTTAAAATCCGTTGATTGATTACATGCAGTGAATGAAACATCAGACATACATGTCTTATATAATTATAATTCCACATTTGATACATTTGGGCCTAGTACTAAATCAGCCAAATTAGTGTAATCACTTACCATTGTCATGACTTAAATCATTGCAGTCTATAGCAAGGCTGATATCCATGCATGTTTTATATTGTTTTATGTATTAGTAAATACACAGTTTGTAGCAATGATCAGAGACAGAAATGTAAAATTGTTGTTTTACCTAAGGTGTTAAGCCCAAGGCAGTATTTAATTATTTATGCTACTTGGCTATTTTAAAAAACCCTTAATAAGAAATTAATAGCTAACTTCCAGGTACCGACCTGATAAAATAATATTGTCATTATCCCTTGTTCAAAATAAAACTTCTGACAGATCATGGGTTTTATCAAACCTTCTTGCCATTTGGACACTGGTATTTATCAGTGCTAGTTAACTTGAACAGATTGGTGGAGTATGCAGCCATACAGAGCACAGTAACACTGTAGCCATACAGAACACAGTAACACTTGAATTCATGAGGCACAAAAATTAAATCCTTGTTTATATAAATTGTCACTAATGCCTATTTAAGCCTCTCAGCATTTAAAAGAAACTTCAAAAGATGCATTCAGAACCAGTTGATCGGCATACTAACCATTCCCCGGATCAAATATGGTGCTCCCCACTTAAAAGCATGCCGAGATTTACGCCCTTCCCCGTGCTGGGACGGCATGCGTGGGAGGCGGGAATCCATTGTCAAGTGCGTATCATATTTAAACTGCAAACTAGTAAGTCTGCAGATGAACTGGTTGTGAACCCAGCCAAAGGCTGCATTCAGAACAGATGATCTGCGGACTTACTGGTCGGTGGATCATATTTGGCCAACCCCACTGGAAACACATAACAGTTAGCATGCTAAAGAGAGGACAAGTTGTATTCTTCAATATTTCATTTTAAGAGAATTCTTTGACAAATCTGAATATAAGTAAGAAATGAAAATGGCATACAGTTGTCAAAGATGTGTACATTTTTTTAACAGTTGAATTGTCTTGTTTTCATCATTAACTTCTGTTTGCATTCAGAACATTTGAATAAATGAGAAAAATGTTTGAAGTGAAAAAAATAATAAGGTGTTGAAACTGACTGCCCGTATAGAGAAAAACTTTTCTGGCTATTGGATGAAGTACTTGTCAAAATCTTATATTTTACTTGATATATGCTGAATCTTATCAATTTTTCTTTGAAAACACGAACAGAGAATGATCATACTGTTCAACTAAAATTTTCAGCTAAACAGTAGATGGATATCTAGTTTTTTTAATTAAACTGAATATAACTGTGGCCTACTTATTTGATTCATTGTAAAAAGTAACAAGGTGTTATATTGATTGTGGTGCTGTTATCTTTTCTTTTAGCTGCCACATTCTGGCAGTAGGAAAAGGTCCCTTTTTCCTCCACTCATCATCTGGTTCTATCAATATCCCAGGCAACACAGCTGCTTAGAAGGCAGAATCTAGATTAATAGTACTGAAACCTGACACTGCCTCCTAGACCAGTCTCATTACTTTTTTTGTTGCAATTGTCTGGTAATGGATTTAGGTACTTTCTCTTTTTATTTAAGTTTGCCTTTTTTCTCCTTTTGTTTAGTTTTAATCTTATAAAACAACAGAGGCAACAATATATTTTGCACTTTTGCCTTGATTAATGGCAGTATACACCACATCCTTTATATTGTTATTTGGTAATTCAGTCTTGGTTTGTATTAGTATCAGTTTTTTTCATTTGTTTTAATCTTTCTCAGACCTGGTGAAATTTTAACACCAGGTGGTTAGCCCCTCCCTTTCATTTTGCTAATTGGTACAATGTGGTGTATTGTTGTCCAGGTTAACGTTTTAATGCAAATTACAGAGACAGTTCTTCACAAAACCAGCACTGTTTTCGGGGTGACCTTTTACTTGAACCTCTGCCAAATTTACCATTAATTATTCATGTTGCCATGACTCATAGTTGTTCCTTTGCATTGGTTTTACAGTCAAGGTAGACAAGTGCTTGTCACGGCTGAAACCATTAAAGCCCAACAAAAGCTGCAGAATAAATATGAAAGGTTATAGTAAAGATCAAATAAAACAATACAAACATCGTACAATTCAATCCAATTGGAGTACAAATTTAACCCAGCCTGGTGCTATTCAACCCAGCATAGACTGTTGTGATATGACTTGAGCTAATATCAAACAGCATCAGACTGGAACCCATTCTTGCCAACACATGTGCCTTTTAACCACAAGGAGGAAATACTAGACCTATATAAACTGAATTAATGATTTGGGGGGATTCAAAAACACCAGGAGTTTTTTTGGAAAAACAGCCCAAATATAAATAAATGCAATATTTTATTTGGGTCTTGGTTTTGACCTTATCATTTAGTTAGTTTTATTGTCCTCCCTTGGTTTGTGTAGTTTTATGTTATGTCAAACAGATTTATGTTTTGATTAGTGGAATTGTTTTTTCAGCTGTAATTGGAATGAAAATGAGAAGTAAAAAAAAAAAATATTCATCCGGATCAATTTTCTTGACAATTTCTGGTCAAATAAATAATTTAAACATCTTCATTAATAATAAAAAATGATTTTGACTATTTC